TGTTTCCCTGGTAACCAGAACATCTCCGCTCAACTCGGGACCTCAAGATGATTGAGAAAGCCATCAAAACAAACACTAGCAGAATCACCTGTGTCCATCACCACACACACACACACACACACACACACACACACACACACACACACACACACACACACACACACACACACACACACACACTATTGGTAATTTTGACTTCTAATTTCGGTGAAAATAGTGAATGCCAAGCATATTGTTATTTTATTTATTCATTTTCATTCGGCTTACACAGCTAACAGGTAATGTTCCAAGAATATTCACAACGTTCTTTAAAAGTTGTGGAAATGTTAGCACAAAACGTTATTAATAGAACGTTTTTAGAAGAGTCTCATAACGTTGTTAACGTTCGTGTAAAAACGTTCTTAGAACAAAGTTCTTGGAACGTCTTCAGAACGTTATTTGTACTTCATAAACGTTGTCATAATGTTGATGAAAAACGTTCTTAGAATGTTATATTTTGGTGGAAATTTAGGTTTTAGGAACGTTTTAACAACGTTGTCCTAACCATCAAAAAACGTTCAAGCAACATTAAACAAACTGGACATTTCAACGTTCTTGGAACATTCCAAATAAACGTTCTTAGAACGTTATATTTTGGTGGAAATCTTGGTTTTAAAAACATTGTAACAACGTTATCCTACCCATAAAAAAAGTTCTAGCAACATTAAGCAAACTGGACATTTCAACATTTTTGGAACATTACAGATAACGCTATGAGAACGTTCTTACAACCTAAATTTGTTAGCTAGGGGTCCAATTTAGTTATTTCAATTCCCCTATAACGCATGTGTTTGGACTGTGGGGGAAATCGGAGCACCCAGAGGAAACCCACGCCAACACAGGGAGAACATGCAAACTCCACACAGAAATGCCAACTGGCCCAGCTGGGACTCGAACCAGCAACCTTCTTGCTGTGAGGTGACATACATTTGTGTGTGTGTGTGTGCGCATACATTTATGTATGAGTGTGTGTTTGTGTGTCTGCATTTATATGCATGTTTGTGTGTGTGTGCTCTTACCCTCATCCGGATGAGTCCTGTGGCCTCTGTACAGGAGCTGCTCAAGCCAAAGCAGTAGCAGCGACTGCAGCCCAGAGGATTCCTGTGACTGAGGCCGAATGAGCCGCTCTTACAGCGCTCACACTTCTGGCCCTCCACATTAGCCTGAACACACAGGCATGATCAATATAACAAAAACTGAATGACATTGACACACAAATAAACGCACCACCAGTTAACGAGGATATACACTGCAGTAATAAAAGTCTTGTTTTTAGTCAATATAACTAAAAAGTATTTATAAATAAGCAAAAGCTTTATAAATATAATGTACAGTTGCAGTCAGAATTATTCGCCCCTGTTTATTTTTCCCCAATTTCTCTTTAACAGAGAGCAGATTTCTTCAACAGATTTCTAAACATGATAGTTTAAATATTTCTTATACCTGATTTATTTTATCTTTGTCATGATGACAGTAAATAACATTTTACTAGATGTTTTTCAAGACACTGCTACACAGTTTAAGTGACATTTAAATGCTTAATAAGGCAAGGCAAGACAAGTTTATTTATATAGCACATTTCATACACAGTGGCAATTCAAAGTGCTTTACATAAACAAGAATAAAAGAGACAAGTGTAATAAAATGAAAAGAAATAATAAAAATTATAAAAATAAGAATAAAAAATTGATAAAACAGATAAAAATGTGTTAAAATGTTATAAGATAATGAAAAAGAAGAAAAAAAACACAATAGAGCGATCTGTCAGACGCAGCACAGTACTCATTCAGTAAAGGCACAGCTAAACAGATGTGTTTTCAGTCTTGATTTGAACATGCCTATTGTTAATTAGAGTAACTAGGCAGGTTAGGGTAATTAGGCAAGTTATTGTATAACGATGGTTTGTTCTGTAGAAGACTATCGACAAAAAAATACAGTTTAAAGGGGCTAAAAATATTGACCTTAAAATGGTGTTTAAAAAATTAAAAACTGCTTTTATTCTAGCCGAAATAAAACAAATAAGACTTTCTCCAGAAGGAAAAATATTATCAGAAATACTGTGAAAATTTCCTTGCTCTGTTAAACAACATTATGGAAATATTTAAAAAAGAAAAAATAAATAAATAAATCAAAGGGGGTGAATAGATCTGACTTCAACTGTATTGCTTAAGCAGGCTAATAATATTGACCTTAAAATAGCTTTAAAAAAATAAAAACTGATTTTATTCAAGCAGAAATAAAACAAATAAGACTTTCTCCAGAAGAAAAAATACTACAATACTGTATTGCCATAGATTAGGTTTCCACATGGGAGGTGGTTTGGTACCTTGCAGGAGCACTGTCCGCTTCTGTCCGCACATGCGCAGAGGCCTGACTCTGAGTCGCAGGTGTCCAGCGATGAGCCTGCTGCAGAGCACTGGCAGGAAATGCATTGTGGGAAATCTCTGTATCCAAGCTTACACTCGTCGCATTTCTCCCCCCTGAACTGCTCTCGGCACATGCAGCAGCCGGTGTTCAGGTTACACTGCTGCGCCACAGACCCCAGTGCATTACAGCCACACGGCTACAGAGAAACAGAACATCACACATGCATCATTTATATTATATTATATTATGTTACACACCACAAACATAAAACAGCGTCCACGGCTTCCTGTTAACCGTTTACTGAAAATAAAGGAGCTATTCAGAACTACTAAAGCATTTTCAGTCGGATACAGGAAACACTAAAGCTTCACCTAATGGAAAATGAAATAATAATGCAGTTTTTGGCACTGCCCTCGGCTCTTCCTAGCTTAAGGTGTTAAACGTTTGCATTGAGTTTGAGAATAACTCTTCTTCCTCTGCAGCTTTTACCTGCGGGGTACCTCAAGGCTCTATTTCAGGCCCGTTTTCATTACACAGGATGCTTCTGTTCACTGCTGTGCTTCAGGAATAAAACATCTCATACTGTTGCCATGTTAGACTGCTCTATCACCCACTAACACTGAGAAATGTCTGACGGTCTTACCATTTGGGGTCAGTAAAAGCATTTGGCAAGTTTTATCAGATACTGTATGTCTGCTTTAAAGCAAAACACTGCAAGCTAAATCCAAAAATCTTTTAAAAAGTGCATCTTTTTATGCGGTTTTGGCTTTTAATAAGTTGTATTTCAGTGTTGAATTGCATTTCAAAAATTTTTTGTCTGTAGATTTTAATTACAATACAAACACACACTCACCGGCCACTTTATTAGGTACACCTTACTAGTACCGGGTTGGACCCCCTTTTGCCTTCAGAACTGCCTTAATCCTTCATGGCCTAGATTCAACAAGGTACTAGATATATTCCTCAGAGATTTTGCTCCATATTGACATGACAGCATCACAAAGTTGCTGCAGATTTGTCGGCTGCACATCCATGATGCCAATCTCCCGTTCCACCACATCCCAAAGCTGCTCTATTGGATTGAGCTCTGGTGACTGTGGAGGCCATTTGAGTACAGTGAACTCATTGTCATGTTCAAGAAAGCAGTCTGAGATGATTCACGCTATATGACATGGAGCGTTATCCTGCCGGAAGTAGCCATCACACTGTGGTCATAAAGGGACGGACATGGTCAGCAGCAATACTCCGGTAGGCTGTGGCATTGATGCTGAAATGGTACTAATGATGAGCCCAAAGTGTGCCAAGAAAATATCCCCACACCATTACACCACCACCAGCAGCCTGAACTGTTGATACAAGGCAGGATGGATCCATGCTTTCATATTGTCACCGCCAAATTCTGACCCGCCATCTGAATGTGTCAGCAGAAATGGAGACTCATCAGAGCAGCCAATATTTCTCCAATCTTCTATTGTCCAGTTTTGGTGAGCCTGTGTGAATTGTAGCCTCAGTTTCCTGTTCTTAGCTGACAGGAGCGGCACCCGGTGTGCTCTTCTGCTGCTGTAGCCCATCCGCCTCAAGGTTGGACGTGTTGTGTGTTCAGAGATGCTCTTCTGCAGACCTCGGTTGTATCGAGTGCTTATTTGAGTTACTGTTGTCTTTCTATCAGCTGAAACCCTTGGCCATTCTCCTCTGACTATTCTCTGTAAACCCTAGAGATAGCTGTGCGTGAAAATCCCAGTAGATCAGCAGTTTCTGAAATACTCAGAGCAGCCCGTCTGGTACCAACAACCATGCCATGTTCAAAGTCACTTAAATCCCCTTTCTTCCCCATTCTGATGCTCGCTTTGAACTGCAGCAGATCGTCTTGACCATGTCTACATGCCTAAATTCATTGAGTTGCTGCCATGTGATTGGCTGATTAGAAATTTGCGATAATGATTTACCTAATATAGTGGCCGGTAAGTGTGTATATTTGATTGTAACATAAATTAGAATGTTGTTAGCATGTTCCTGATTTGAATTAGTATGTATATATATATATATATATATATATATATTAATTCATTTTCTTTTGGGCTTAGTCTCTTCATTAATCAGGGGTTGCCACAGCGGAATGAACCGCCAACTCATCCAGCACTTGTTTCACGCAGCGGATGCCCTTTCAGCTGCAACCCATCTCTGGGAAACATCCACACACACTCAGTCACACTCATACACTACAGACAATTTAGCCTACACAATTCACCTGTACCGCATGTTTTGGACTGTGGGGGAAACCGGAGCACTTGGAGGAAATCCACGCAAATGCAGGGAGAACATGCAAACTCCACACAGAAATGCCAACTGACCCAGC